AAGATTCTTGCATCACGAAAGATCCTACGGCTTCACTAGTAGCGATTATTCATTGATATTATTTCTCGGCTCATGTGTCTACATCACTTCCACACTATCACGAGTCCCACGATAACTCGCGCATATCTCAGATAAGGATGGTGCATGTATTGTTGTTTGCGAAAAGAAAAAAGGAATCAAAAATATTGACAAGCTGACATCGAAATATTTGTAAACAATATAAAAATTATGGCGCAATTTGAAAAAAAAAAACAGGATTTTAGATATTTAGACAAAATTATATTTGTAATCTCGTTATTTATATATATAATTGTTATGTATACATCGCAAATATTCAACAACGGTAAAAATTGTATTATGGAAATTATCATATATACTACTAGCTGGAGAGGATTTGAAACTTACGTAAAGTATAAATGGACTCGGCATACACGATTTAATTTGCAATTCGCAAATGCATATCTTACCAAATTAATAATAAAATTTACATATTGATGTAAGAATGTTCATCAATATATAATGATATAATTTAAAAAATATTGAGAAAAGCAAAATGTATATAACATGAAAGTCTGCACGCTTTTTCCTTCGCTTTTGCATTGTGTGAATGTTACTCTCAATAATCGAACAATAACAACACACATATCCGGCCAGTGAGCTTAATCGAGTACGTCCCAAATCTACCCCAGATATTTTTTCAAATAGCTTTAATCAAAACGTTGTTAATTTATGTTTTTCATATAACTAAATTTCGTGTTCTTTCCAGTTTGATTTAATTAAAGTTAATACATAAACAGATTTGGGACACTTGATAAAGTCCACAATTATGGACAAATCTCGCACAAATATATACATACGCACACACATACACATGCTGCTTCTAGTATTTTGCATTGCATAACTAAATTGCAGAGAATGAATCTTTCAATTTCTGAAGCGATTGTAAGAGACATTTCCAATAAATTTTATCAATCAAATGATTTACACTGTGACCGATGTGCACTTATCCTTATCTGAAGTTTTTCTTCGTTGGTATGTTCGAAGATAATGTGTATAAGGAATGTTTTGAATTAAATAGAACTATCGTAGTGATGAATTGTAAGGCTTCGCACGCGCGCTTTGAATGTCTTAATTAACTTTTTACTTCTTGTGTATACGTGATGCTTTCTTTACAGAGTTAGAGCTCAATTCTTGAATTTAATTTAGAGCTCTTTAAAATAAAGTTATAATAAAGAACTTTATGAAATTAGTCAAATATAAAAACGTCATAGATAAAAATGGTAATAAGTCCAATTGTCTGCATGGTTAAATTATAAATATAAAAATTTGCTATGCTTTATTCATCACAATTATTATTTTTTAAAGAAACTGCTAACTGAAATTTTTAAGAATGTTAATTGAAATTTTTAAGAATGTTATCAAAAATTGACCGACGTATCAGATTAGCCATATAAGACACATTTTTTTATTTTTTCTCTATAAACTTTTTATTCCTTTTATATATCATTGATCCGGTTAATGCAAATGATAGAGCTTAGAGTTAGAGAATAATCACGTATGCACCGAAGCTTCTTAGGTCGACTTGGTCTTCCGGTTGGCTCCGTTTACTGAATGTTGTTACGTCCCGCGTTCGAATGCAGCATTAGTGGCGGTGGACTAGATCCAATGGGCTCGTGTAATCTTATTATTTTCTAGTGATGCATTTATTCAAGCTCAACAACAAGTAGCCCGGTGGACTAGTGAGGACGGAGGAGGAGGAGAGGTGCAGCACCGGCCGCCGCAGCAACCACCCCCGCCGCCTGCGATGCCGTTGCCGGTGCAGCAACAACAGCAGCAGCAACAGCAACACCAACTGCCGGTGGAACAACTGCCAATAAAGCAGCGCGGCTATTATCCATCCCCCCCACAAACCGAAAACAGCCCCGACGCTGGCAACAACGCCGAGGTCGAATCTGCTCAATCCCAACAGCAAACGCTAAGCGACGTTCGTGGAATCGATGTTAATCATTTGCCTAATATTAACAAACGCCCACTAGACGATAACTTTAGTCTAGATTGTAACATAATGAATAATGGTTCCCCCAAAGAATTAATTACCAACAACTCTAGTGATAACGAAAATACTGCCCTACTGCCCCCCACGCATTTTCCTGAGTACAAGCATTGATAATTAATTAATCGATGACAGATAGTGTCCGAGGAAAAAAAAAAGAGAAAAGGGAAAAAAGTCGTAATAATAATAATAATAATAATATTAATAATAATAATAATAATAAAACAGTATAGTGGTGTGACAATGATGATGACGATGATGACGATGATTTAATCTCGAACTCGCATTTTATACTGAATAGTGTAAATAACGATAAACTGTAATTGCGACAATTATAACAACAACAACACACGTATTAAATTATATTAAATTCAAATAATCTATATGAAATGTTTATTAATAAACATTAGTAAAACGATTTACTCAAATCTCATTGTGTCTGTTATTTCACCTTCTTTCATGCAACATATTATTAGCGCGCGCGATCGTGGTTAATGAATAAATTAATTCACGAATTTATTTAATCGAGTAAAGCAGCTCGAAGAACGCATCTCTTGCGTTATCGAATTTTATATAAATATATGCCTTGTTCTACAGTCTATACATATACATCATATACATGCAATGCAAAAAATTAAGAAGTTTTTAGAAGCATTTTTTATATACCTGTTTGATCCTTCGATACAAGAAGATGTACTCTCAAAGCGCCGATTTCCTCAGCCACATTTAAAAATTATCAAGTAAATTATCGACACGAAATTGAAGTTAACAACGGCTTTATATAAGCTAATAACCGATTTATATGGGGATACCGCAGCGTGATTTCTCAATATTCAAGAATACAGACACGTGACGGATCACTACGATACACTTTTTCAATTAATTAGTACTTTTAATTAACACTTTTTTGATGTTTATAAAGGAATGCGGTACGTACGTTTGGCGCAGTTTAGCGCGCGCGGCAGCCATTTTGAATGAGCCAAACACGTGATCACCATGTGTTCAGTTTTGCATCGCTTCGTCGCGCGCGGTGCGTTCGTAAAATAGACTGAACCTAACCCAGATTTAACCTAACATAACCATAAGCAACTTGTCAACGATTGAAGGATGTATTGTACGGGTATGAATGATCATGTCTTATCAAGATTCACAATTTTGTACAATGTATGATCGTCAAGACGATTATGATCTCGACGAAGACAATGAGGAATATATGGAAGAAGACAGAGATGCCGAGGAACAAGATGATAGTGATGAAGGTATCTGTGATAATAAAAAATGATATATGAAGCTAATATAAATTCTGTTATCTTTTGTGTTTTTAAGCTTTTATTTTTAGAATTACCTGATTTCTTTATGACATAAACACTTTAAAAAATATGGAAATATTTGTATAAAACTAATAAAGCTAATGGAAATTTTTTAGATACCGAGGAGGCGAGTGAAACTGATATGGGAGAGAGAAAATCTGAAGAATACACAGAAATTAAAGAACAGTAAGCTTACAAGATAGAACACATTCATATATCAACAATGAATTTAGTGCTTAAACTCTGTATTTGTATATTCAATTTTTTAGGATGTATCAAGATAAGTTAGCAAGTTTGAAAAAGCAGCTACAGCAATTAAAAGATGGGACACATCCTGAATATAATCGTAAATTAAAACGATTAGAAGCACAATATAAAGAACGGTAAACAATTTATCATTGTTATTAATATATAATAATTATTTGTGAAAACTAATAATTATATTAATTAAACTTTTATATATTTTTATCAGATTGAGATTGAATATAATTTATCGAGACTATTTGACAGAATGGGTCGAACGAGATTATATATTAGAGAAGAAAGCAGCAGTGAAAGAATTTGAAGAGAAAAAAATCGATTTGAAGGAAAATTTGCTTACCGATATGGAAGAAAAGAGGAAAATAATTGAGTCAGACCGTCATACAATGGAACTTACTGGTGATTCGATGGAGGTATTGAGAAAATTAGCCTTGCTGAAATAATATATATTTTTCAACATTATTATTTTGTTAATCAGGTGAAACCAGTAATGACGAGAAAATTACGCAGACGTCCCAATGATCCAGTACCTGAAAAAGTAGAAAAGCGACGAAAACCACCTCCGGCATCACTAAATTATCTATTGGAGGAGAAAGAGATCGAGCTCGATTTGAAAGCGATCAATCGCGCGAAAACATCCACCACTGTTCGTAAACCAGGTGCACATCTACAAGCTGTTTCAAAATTCATGAATATTCTCTAGTATAAAAATTCTCGAAACACTAAGTAATAAAAATTTAGTTTTTTATTTCAAGCAATTTTTAGTTGGTACTGAATCGTAGCTTGTAATTATATATATGTATATATATATATATAACAATAACTTTGTTAAGTACTTGTACTTCAAAAACTACTGCTTGGAATAAATCACTGAAAGATTTATCTTATTTAGTTTTTTCTACTATAGAAAGTGTTTCACAAATTTTAGACATTCTATGGTAAAAATAAGAAATAAATTTTTTAATAAATAATTATAATTGTTTGTATTTACAGTAGTTTTACCACATTACAACGCGGTAAATATATCATCTCAACATATACCGCAACCGCCTGAGACTCCATTGGTGGAAACTAGGATAGAGGATGGCAAATTGTCATATGAACGAAGATGGTACTTTTAATCTATTTCTATTACTATTTTATATTCAAAACTTGTAATTTTTCACAAATATAAAAAAATACTTTGATCGAATTTTTTGTTAATAGGTTTCACCGTGGTCAACCTGTTTATGTCGAAGGCAAAGATCTTAACAGGTTTGCGGCGCATATTTCGGCAATTGGTACTGAAGCGGTAAGTGTTCAAGACATTAGATAAATCGCACGTCATTGCAAAATGTATACTTTTTTCAGATCTGGGTGAAAAAGGTTTCAGACAGCAGCAAAGTACGCATTTACACATCGCAGCTGAGTCGTGGGAAGATCTCTATCAAACGACGGGCCTCTTAATCAATTCCTCGATTAACTCGACATCCATTGTCAGATCTCTGATATATTGCGTTTTTCGTTTCTAATTTCTAAAGCAGCATTTTCCCGTGTCAAATTGACTATTGTCACAATGCTGGACTTTTGCCACCAGTGAAACCATGCTTTTTGATGATATTGTAATGCCATGTAAATCCAGACGAAAAAAGACAAGATCAGTAACGCCATCATTGACAACAGGGAGTAAGTGGTCCATCGCGCGGGTGGGAAATTGTCGTAATTGTTCATAGCGTAAAAATCCGCAGCGACTACGCAGATGTAAGAGCACGCGATGGTCACAGGAATGACTACGAGACATCTGAGTAAATCGGCTTTCACATTGCGAGCATACATCTGATGTTCATCCTGATTCCGACACAACCAAACCACGATGGAGCGGAGAACCTTGTAACGAGGTGTTCGTTCTACTTGGAACTCGTAGGCGCACAATTCGCAACTATTCCTATTGCTCTCTTCTAGCCATCGCTCCAAACATTTCAAATGGATTGCACCCATTGTTCCCTAATCCCAGTTGTCAAATTTGTAATTATTGAAACCTTTTTTCTAAATATATGTTTTCTGATCAGTAAAATTAAATAAGTCATTCCAGAGATTAATATATATGTGATTTATTAAAAATATAATAAAAGAAATATATAGGATTATATGATTTTTGATATCCTAGATCTGGATTCTTAGATCTCAAAATTCTTGGATATTTGAATTGTCAATTATAGAATTTCATTTTCTCGAACCTTGCATTTGCACGGATATATAATAGGTAATTCTTGATTAGGATCGTAACAAATGCGACAGTTTGTATCTTCTATCGAATCGCATGATGATAATACACTCCTTTTATTTGAGGTTACGGAATTTTCCAGCTCTGATTGATTTGTATATAATGATGCCGTCTCTTGTTCTAATTCGATTTCTATTTCTATTTTTGAAATTATGCTATCTAAAATGCTAGTTACTGAATTACTTTTTGCTGTCATAGCGAGAAATTTCTGCAAATATATTAATAAACAAACAACTGCTAAAACATAAGACAAATGCATTCTAACTCACAGATGTTTCTTCTTAAAAAAGGTATTTAAAGCGAAGAGTTTTTTAATAAATAATTATAATTGTTTGTATTTACAGTAGTTTTACCACATTACAACGCGGTAAATATATCATCTCAACATATACCGCAACCGCCTGAGACTCCATTGGTGGAAACTAGGATAGAGGATGGCAAATTGTCATATGAACGAAGATGGTACTTTTAATCTATTTCTATTACTATTTTATATTCAAAACTTGTAATTTTTCACAAATATAAAAAAATACTTTGATCGAATTTTTTGTTAATAGGTTTCACCGTGGTCAACCTGTTTATGTCGAAGGCAAAGATCTTAACAGGTTTGCGGCGCATATTTCGGCAATTGGTACTGAAGCGGTAAGTGTTCAAGACATTAGATAAATCGCACGTCATTGCAAAATGTATACTTTTTTCAGATCTGGGTGAAAAAGGTTTCAGACAGCAGCAAAGTACGCATTTACACATCGCAGCTGAGTCGTGGGAAGATCTCTATCAAACGACGGGCCTCTTAATCAATTCCTCGATTAACTCGACATCCATTGTCAGATCTCTGATATATTGCGTTTTTCGTTTCTAATTTCTAAAGCAGCATTTTCCCGTGTCAAATTGACTATTGTCACAATGCTGGACTTTTGCCACCAGTGAAACCATGCTTTTTGATGATATTGTAATGCCATGTAAATCCAGACGAAAAAAGACAAGATCAGTAACGCCATCATTGACAACAGGGAGTAAGTGGTCCATCGCGCGGGTGGGAAATTGTCGTAATTGTTCATAGCGTAAAAATCCGCAGCGACTACGCAGATGTAAGAGCACGCGATGGTCACAGGAATGACTACGAGACATCTGAGTAAATCGGCTTTCACATTGCGAGCATACATCTGATGTTCATCCTGATTCCGACACAACCAAACCACGATGGAGCGGAGAACCTTGTAACGAGGTGTTCGTTCTACTTGGAACTCGTAGGCGCACAATTCGCAACTATTCCTATTGCTCTCTTCTAGCCATCGCTCCAAACATTTCAAATGGATTGCACCCATTGTTCCCTAATCCCAGTTGTCAAATTTGTAATTATTGAAACCTTTTTTCTAAATATATGTTTTCTGATCAGTAAAATTAAATAAGTCATTCCAGAGATTAATATATATGTGATTTATTAAAAATATAATAAAAGAAATATATAGGATTATATGATTTTTGATATCCTAGATCTGGATTCTTAGATCTCAAAATTCTTGGATATTTGAATTGTCAATTATAGAATTTCATTTTCTCGAACCTTGCATTTGCACGGATATATAATAGGTAATTCTTGATTAGGATCGTAACAAATGCGACAGTTTGTATCTTCTATCGAATCGCATGATGATAATACACTCCTTTTATTTGAGGTTACGGAATTTTCCAGCTCTGATTGATTTGTATATAATGATGCCGTCTCTTGTTCTAATTCGATTTCTATTTCTATTTTTGAAATTATGCTATCTAAAATGCTAGTTACTGAATTACTTTTTGCTGTCATAGCGAGAAATTTCTGCAAATATATTAATAAACAAACAACTGCTAAAACATAAGACAAATGCATTCTAACTCACAGATGTTTCTTCTTAAAAAAGGTATTTAAAGCGAAGAGCGTCCTTTATTATTGTGTATAAAAATTTGTATTATGTTTTAGTGGATACAAGTCGCGTGAACGCGTGAATATTTTAAAGAGCCATATAACTCTATGTGCACTTTGTAATAATTAATGAGTAAACTATAAACGAATGTTTGTCATCATGTCCGAAGAGCGTCCTTTATTATTGTGTATAAAAATTTGTATTATGTTTTAGTGGATACAATTGAGTTAGTCGCGTGAATATTTTAAAGAGCCATATAACTCTATGTGCACTTTGTAATAATTAATGAGTAAACTATAAACGAATGTTTGTCACTCTGCCATCATGTCCACACTGAGACAATCTTCTCCCATATTACTAGGAGATGTCTCAAGTTCTCCAATTTCGTTCGATTCGCTGGAAATTTTTCATTTTAATAATTCCGTTTTTAATTAAAGATGCAAAAAGCACAGAAAAAGATGATTTATTAGTAATAAAAGGCTACCTGTCCAAGGAAGGATCATTACTGAACATTTCCGTTGGAACTGTGGGTGGTGCTTTTTCTGGTACGAGTTCCAGATATGTTTGACGAGATTCCAAATGTCTCTCCACTTCCTCTGGTGTCATATGTCCATCAGACATTAAAGACATTGGAACTACGTTATTTGAGGATTGTACCTGAGATAAAGGTATATTTCAGTTTCAGTATTTTTACACTTATATTTGATCTTTAAATATATTATGCAGAATACAAGCACACTCACTATAGGTGTGTTGTTTGTTTTAACAACTTTTGGTGTACTCTTTTTTTTCTTGCTGGTACTGAGCGGTTTTGTGACTATTGACGAATGATGAGAAGTATGATTGTTGACATTCATCTCAACCTTTTTCCTAAAAATTACACATATAATTGTAATTAGATAAAAATTGTTTTTTTCTGTAATATTTTCTCTTTTATATCATGTTTATGACACAAGTTTTTATTATATTTTTATATAACATATAATTAAAATTAAACAAGTTATTAGTTGAATAAATTTCGACAATTTCTTGTTAATTTGAAATAAAATTTTCTTTCAAAATCAAATTTATATATATAACAATGCTTACCTTTTAGAATTGTCAAGACGAACAACTTCCTCATCTGATGACTCTGTTTCATCACTTTCACTGAATGATGCATCTACTTTTTCATATTGCAGCAAGCGATCTAATAGGAAACTCTTGTCTCTATTCACCTTGAGCAATTTTCTTTGTGTAGAACGCAGAGCTTCTTGGAAACACTCATTTTCCTGCAACGCAATATATATTTTGTCAAAATAAATATTATGGAGAAGAAAGAAAGCACTAAACACAAAAATGTTCCTTGCATACATAAATCAGGAATTTCAGCTTCCTTTTGAGATTGCGATACTGATCCTTATAGTTAGGCACTTCTTCCTCAGGACTATCTTCATCGTCTTCCTCTTCTGCGTCTGCATTGTTGTTGGCAATGGATCTGCAATACCATCCTTCCAACATTGATCATCTGCAACTGTAAGAAAAAATCCTTCTTCAAAATAACAGTATTTTCCAGAAGTTCTCTTTCTACTTTCTCTTTCATCAGAACTATTTTACTCAACATTGCAATACAAAAGTTGTATTGCGAATCATTGATAAAGTTAAAGTAAAAAATATAGTTATCCGAGAATAAAGAAATATCTCGTCAAAGGAACGGAATAAATATAATAAGATGAACAAAAAGATCTTCAAAGACGCACTTTGAGTTTCTTCTGGGAGGTTAAGTCGCGCAAGAAACGCGTAAACTTATGCGTCAGCTGTTTAATCGGGCGAAGAAACAAATGTCAGGCTTTAATTAGATCGGATATTGACGGCGCATTTTCCTTAGCACTCACTTGAAACCCCAAAATGATTTGTCGCACGTCGCAAGCGCTCGCGGCGGCCGATTATTGCGAAGATAAATAAGCTGTTTATGACTGGCTTCCATTCTGAACTCTTTATCGATTCCGTAGTAACTTCAGCGCCTTGCCGGTCGAACGGAACGGCGCGTTTTATCATGTCAGTGTTGCAAACGTCGAAAAATAAAAATATTGTTCTATGGTAAAATATCACTAGCCGTTTGAAAATTTGAATAACACTATATGTATTCTGAGAAATATTTATTATTATTACTATACATATAGAGAAAATTAAAATATTTTGTTATTAGCAATTAAATTTTAGGCATGGAGAATTAAATGATTATTTTTTAATAATTATCATTTCCTTACGAAGGAGATAAAAGGCAATCAAGAGCCAGCGCGGTAATTTGTGCGCATATGTTTTACATACAATCAAATTACATTGATATTTTAACTACGTGACAGACAAAATATCAATGTAATTTGATTGTAATAAAACATATGCGCACAAATTACCGCGCTGACTCTTGATTGCCTTTTATCTCCTTCGTATGATATATTCATAAGAGCTTTTATTAGTTAATTTTATCATGTTCTTAATTTATTTTTATTTCACGATAGAGTGATTTTCTTAGCCTCGTCTTTATGTATGTGAGCGTCTATCACACACACTATATATTTTAAAATTTAATAAATTTGTTTAAAGATTGCATTTGATTAAAAAGAATCGAGAATATAATTTAAAAAATGATAATTATAATTGTATAATAAAAAAAGATAATAATTATATAATATATTAATTGAACTATCATGTAAAATCCTTAGCTGTGATATTCCTGTTAAAATAAGCGGAATTTAAAAAATTAAACTTTTTAATAAGAATATAAGAATATTTTTATCTCATCTCTCTCTCTCTTTCTTTACTTCTATTTTAAGAAATTCCAACTGTATATTTAATTATGTTGCTACACAGCTTTACATAAATTGAATTAGAAATTCACTGAAAAAATTGTCACGAGAAATAATCTTGAATATAATCTTGAAATATTATAAATAATCAAAATTATAGAAAGATTTCCAAAGTCTGATAATAAAATTTTGGAGTGATCCTTTTAAGTTCACTTTAACGATCCACTTTCTGAAAAATTATTGCAATCTCTATTATTTTTTTTATTACAATAATTCATTCTTCTTACACATTACCTTGTAATTTTTCTTTATCGCGTATCGGTATTGCAAAATTGTCATCTTTAATCCCTTCGGACCGACAGGAAATAATATCGATCCTGTAAAGCTAGCACATGCGCCCTGAAGGATATCCTTCAGCGTCCGCGTGTACGAGGGGTGAAAACACACCGAGTTCTTATCCGAGAAATATCAGTGAACATGAACAGCCGATTCTGATATCCTTGTTAATACTTAATAGTGCATTTTCATTCTGAGAAAGATGAGTCCTGGTTTGGGGCATGATCCTTTGCCATCGTACAACATTACTACTCTCGGTGAGTTTGAGAGAAGATTGACCCTTATATTTTTTGGAGCAAGATTTATTATCTCTCATATACACACGAGATATCAGAATTTTTTATTCGTAAAATTACGAGAAAAAAGCGAACACAGTTTTTCTCCTTTTTTTTTCTTGTTAAAGACACGAGAGCGCGATAATGAGAGATGTATGAATGAAAAGTTGTCGCCCGTAGGGATATTGCCGCGTTTATGTGAATAGAAAGTTTTTGAAAAGCAATAAATCAATGTATCGGTTCTTTTTCATTCTTTTTAAGGAAACACTGTTCTCTGCTTGTGGCAACAGCCACAACACATTTTGTTCCAGTTGGCAAATTTCTGCTTCGCACTGTCGTATTCGGCGCCGTCCTCTAAAAAGGGGATTTTGTTCATGCATTCAGTGCTAATCCTAGGTAAGTAATTAATAATATAAAATCTGTGTAAAGTATTTCCGAAGAAACTTGTCCCAAAAAATAATATATCATATTAAAAGATCGCGAAATTAATTTGCAAATTTTAATTTTACTTTTATTTACTACTATTTGTATGCAATTCTATCATTCCAATCTTAACTTGCAACTGTTAAATTCTTTTTTGACTCTATAATATTTTTTCAGGTTTTATGTTGCTATCAGGATGGGCTTGGCATGTGATATGCGCTCCAGATATCTTCTCCTGGAACTTTAGCTTTCTATTGCTCAATATCGGTCAATTAGTTTACATCATTTATCAGATGAGACCCATAAGATTTGATCCTGAATTGGAGGAAGTTTATCACACGCTCTTTTACCCTTTCAAAGTAAATTTTTTACAATAATGTCGCAAATTCGTAAATGTCATTTTTGAGAGCATCTTGGAATTAATTCGCTTTTTTTTTTAACGCAGGTTTCACGACTGCAATTTAAGCGATTAGTATCACCAGAATTTGCGACGATAATGTCTCTTCATGCCGGCGAGGCGTACGCGATGCAAAATCTAACGAGAACAGATAGATTAGGTTTGCTTCTCACGGGCAAAGTCAATGTTTTGAGCGATACTAATTTTCTGCATCCCATATTGCCCTGCGAATTTCTGGATTCACCGGAATTCGAAAGTTCTCGAGCTTCCGTCGATGATAAATTTAAGGTATGACTTTATTCACTTTTTATTTAATTACAAATTTAAACATCCGAAATATAAAATTAATAATCATTTAGGTATCTATCATAGCGGCGAGTTCCTGCAGATACCTGTATTGGCAAAGATCAGCCTTGGAGTATCTGCTCGTGAAGGAAACTTATCTTGCAACTGTCTTGACCACGCTGGTGGCAAGAGATATCGCAACGAAGCTGTATGCAATGAATAACAAGGTATTCTCTTTGATAAAAGAATAAAATTGTGTACTTTCATATTTTACAAAAATTAAATTGTAATAATAATTTTTATAAATATATATAAAATCATATATTCTTTTAA